ATCCAATGTTCTCTGCTTATTCAAGATCATCCATCACGTCGGGGTCACCGAATTGTTGGAAAAATGTGTTGTTCAAAATGGTATGTCCTAATAAAAAGGAATCCGCTGGATTTCTTCTTTAAAACTTTATTTTGAATCTTCTAGACTCCAATCAGGTTCACAGTACAGCACCCAGCACACAGGCCTCAGCGAACAAACTTGGGYTGAATCAAAACAAAGACAAGAGCTCTGCTCTGAGCAGACAYTCTGCAAAACAATGACAACTTCCTCTTCCTACAATAATGAATAGAGCTTATAATGTGTCTTTCTTCCTGGTTACACCCATGGAGGTGTTACCTTTTACGTCAGAACGTAGCTCATTTTGTTTAGACTGAAAGGAAGAACACATGATAACATACCAACTCTTTGTCAGCTTTAACTTTACAGACTGAAATGATCAGAAAGTATAAAATGCAATACTGAATCTAATATTCAWTTWATCAGTTACAAAATTTCCTTCAGTACTGTACATCATCTTGGTTTTAACATTTGATATGTTTACTATTCTCCATCATCAATAAAATATAGGCTTATGAGATGAGCATTCTGTTTTAATTTGCATTTCATACAATATTTAAATTTTTTAAAATTGGGGTTGTACTTTTTTACTGCTTACAACGTAAAACAAATCAGGGAGAAAAAATAAACGGCAGAGCTGAAAATTTTATTTTTGACAAACACACAGAAAGGAGGCCAGCGTAGACGGCTACAGGAAGTTTTAATCTGCAGAGGCGTGAAATACATCCTCTCATTTCTGGTGTCCTGTTCAATAACGACCAGAGTGGTCAGAGTGAGCCTTCTCAGCTCTGGAACTTCATTTCCCATGGGGATCATAAGGATACCAGGCAGAGATGACAGGCTTCAAAAATATGCAGTCACTTCATGGTGTGTGGAGAAAAAACAGCTGAGAAAACTTGCAGACAATATTCAGSGTCAGGTATTCCTATCAAACTGCAGTGAATATASACTGTGCTGGAAATCATAATGCAGAGAGAACACATGAAACCTAACAGGAGTGGGCAAAAAAAAGTGTGTATATATATATATATATATATATATATATATATATATATACACACACACACAAAGACATTGACAAAAAGAATGTCAAAATAGGCATTTCCTCCCCCCAAAATATATACTGTATTTTCTTTAAAAGATAATATTAACAGCAATTTAAACTTAAAAGTTCAAAACTAAAATAAGGAAGTGCTGACCAGGTAGACCAGAATCTCCACCCATAGGAGTTAAAAAAAAAAACTGGCATCAGATGGCTCATCACTTTCACGTCAAAATCTCTAAGTAACTCACTTAGAAAAACATCCAAACCAAAAAGTTCCCATAAAAACTGACAAGATGAGTCAAGGACTGAGCAAAACCGTTGAGGTGTTCGGTGGCAGAAAAGAGGTGAGCCACAGGCCAGTGAGGAAAAAAAAGGTGTCTTTGTGCAACGAGCAAGCCTCCATATTGTGAAATCTAAGAGCTAACAGCAGGCGTCCTCCCGACGATTGTTAGTCTGGCAGTAAAGGATTGCTGTCCACCACCGTCATGCCAAGTACTGCTGCAACGCTGTCTTAGCCCTGATGGAGACACAAAGTCAACATCAGGCAGTTCAACAAGAATTTATTGTTCTGCTGTTTCTGCCAGCCAACCTGTCACTGAGGTTTGGGTCAGATGACTGCGTCAGTTTGTGCAGGAGGTCCACAAAGCCCATCTCCCTCAATTTGTCCTGACGCTCCTGAGAACCTAACAACACAAAGAAAGAAAATAGTTTTTAATTTTGTTTAAAATTTTGTAACAATATACAACCCCAATTCCAAAGCATTTGGGACGTTGAGTAAAACATAAGTAAAAACAGAATACAATGATTTACAAATCCTTTTCAACCTACATTTAAATGAATACACTACAAATTCAAGATATTTAATGTTCAAACACACGATCTTTATTGAATCAGGGCCCCAACGATAGTCAGGTGATAGGCTACATGACCCTCTATGAACAACAGAGCTAATCAAGGTACTAAGACCTATTGTTTGTTCTTTCTGAATTTGAAGCCTGCAACACATTCAAACCAAGCTGGGACAGACATGTTTATCACCGTTACAACAAATTCCCTTTTAACAACATTCTTGCTTGAAGTTAAGTTGCTCAACAGTCTGAGGTCTCGATCATATTTTGCGCTTCATAATCACCACACATTTTCAATGGAAGACAGGTCTGGACTGCAGGCCGGTCAGGTAAGTACCTGCTCTTAGGCCCTGTCCCAGTACCCACC